ACGCCTTTTCTATAAGAATAAACGCGAAATATCTTTTCTTACGTAGTTCTTACAATTTTTCTATAATTTGCTTTATAATGGAAACATAGCTTTTAGACAAGGAAGAAGTTCATACAAAGATTATTTTTGTTTTAATTTCATCTTAATATTTTATAAATAACCGTGCAATTAATGATCGAAATATATATCTCCTGATTAAATAAAATCCATTTACATTACTTTTATCAGAGAATGAGATGTATAATTTGTAAACAAATTGATTATTTTTAACTAATCAATATTCAAACTGAAGTTCGATTATCGAGTTTGTTATCTTATCAACAATTTTTAATATTGTATTGCTTTATTAAATGTTGAAAAATCAATGTAATTATTATGGTGAATTAGTGCTTTTATAATTTGTTTCCTCCCTACTCTACTACAATCTAATGTTGTCTAATCACAATGAAGTTTTCATATGCAATAGTCATTGGTAAGTTACTACTTCAAATAGCGTGTAAGTAAGGACGATTTCGAGTAATTTTTAGTAGATTATTGCATGTTAGGGATTCGTTTTCGAAATTCTATTATCGAGGAAAGTGTCCTAGATTTGAATGGACTATATTCTTCGATATAGTATACAAATATGATAAATTAACCTAGTCTTTGTGAAGTCTTCCATCACCCTTAGTAATCGATGAATAATTATGCCCCTATTGCATCATGCATGTAGAGATCTTGTTAACCTCAGCTGTCGTGGTTTCAGTTTGGTGTTACAATTTTTTAATCATACGGAAGCATGTATAATACTAGCATCTATAATACATATATAATACTTGGTGAAATCACGAGAACGAAGACATATACCTTATCCAATACCCTATCAATCCAAAAGACAATCCTTAGATTGTATTGACCTACTAAGAAACATTACTTGAAGTAGAGAAGAAAATTAAGCTATACATAAAATTAGTATAATGTTGAATGAAAATTAATCAAGATAACTAATTGGTGCTACTAAGATAACTTGTTAATCATATCATGACCAAAATCATGATATGATTAACAAGAAATTAGGAAGAAAGTTAAATTGCGTCAATCTGTAGCAAGCAACGATACAAATGTAGTGAAAAAATAAGCAATTGAGCGAAAACTATAATAAATAATTAAATGGGATGGAGGTGAAGCAATTGAGAATGAACCAGTGAAGGATAAATGGACAAATTTTAAGAAGCAATAACTGCAACAGCTAAAGCTGTATTGGGATTTCAAAAGAAGCAGGATGGTAGAGAATGGTTTGATGAGAACTACCAGCAGGCGATTGATTTTAGAAACAGAAGTATGTGAAGTATACTAATAGACCCATGAGAACACGGCAGAACTATATAAAAAAGCAAGAAGAAAAGTTGACAAAATGTGCAGGAAAAAGAAGCCTTTAATCAACGGATACTACAAATGACTTCAAAGCAAATGACACGAGCCAAGCTTTTAAGCAAGACAAGTATATGAAGAAGGTATTCAAACCCAGAACTAATTTTATTTGAGACAAGAACGGAATGATCAATAATAAGGCGGCACGGGTTATGGAAAACATATATCAAATAGCTATTGTAGGAATACCTATAGTTATAGAGGGATATACTTGTAATCCACAGCTTATAAATTGTTGACTGCAATTTTAAAAGAAAGAATCGTACCGTATACAGAGAGAAATAGAGAGAATTATAGGTGAATATCAGGCAGGTTTTAGGTCAAATCGACTACAAACCATTTGTTTGTCCTGAGACAAATTAGGGAAAAGTGCTGGGAAATTAATATAGACATTTACATGTGTTCAATACGTTTCCCAATCGCATATCTTTCGACTATTTTTCTGATCCATACGTTAATATAGGCTCCACGTCTGTCCTATAGATTGTCATTTATGTTTAAGAGTGATTTTATTCGACCATAGCAAGAAATTTTGTATTCGTCAATCCAATGTTCTTTAATCAAATATTTTACTACCGAGGTATTTATATTCTTCACATTGCTTTATTTTTCTTAGCTGCAGTTCTGGAATGTTCCTCATCTTTCCGTCTATTACACATATATTCGATTTTGTGAATGTTCATTTTTATTCCCCATTTCTCATATTCCTCTCCGAGATTCCTTAACATACAATCAATGACTTCAACTAGAGCTAGACTTGCAGTTAACGAGGGGAAGACAAAATATATACTTATGCCAAGAAACAGAAATCCCAACACGGTGCTGGCACCAATTACAAATGGCCGCAGCACGTTTGGAAATGCGTATAGGTTCAAATATCTTGGCTCACTTGTCACCGGAAACAACGAAAATCACATAGCGATCCAGCAGAGATTAGAAGCTGAAAATAGAGTATATTTCAGCACTCACCACTTGCTGAAGTCATGGTTGCTGTAGCGGAAAAAAGTACCAACAGCGAACTGTACCAGTATACAAAAAGCCAACACTTGTTCTAGAGATTAAAAGCGTCCGAATAATGATAAATGATTGGACCATCTGGAACGCAAGCTGGAACGAAGACCGAGGGGCGAAGAAAGTATACCGCCAAAGATCAGAGGACCGTCAGCTGCAAGACCGATCCCGTAAACGGTAGCAAGATGACGAGAAGGATCTTCGAGAGCACGGGACCTCGAAACAATTTGTCTGGAAGGCCAAGGACTTTACAGGGCCGTAGTGCCAATGTGATGGTGATGATAATAATAAAAAACTTTCTCGATGAAGATACACTTGGTTATCGGCGGAGATCAAAATGGTTAAACATTGATCATTATCTTGATCATAAACATCCTTCTCTTAACCTTATCGTCACTACAAATGGTTTAGAAATTTATTTCTTAATTTTATTGCACTTTCAGGATTCATACAGATGTTTAGGATTGCGCGTATTTCTTCAGTTTTCTTCACATCGAAATATATCCAGGACTATTCGCTTTTCAATTAGGTACTTGTTATAATCTCATCAAGTTATGTATCCTAAACTAGAACAAACACTAGACTTAGAAACTTTCGGGTTAAGCCGCGCGTCTTTTGAAACAGTTTGACGTCTCAGATGCCATGTTCAACCTTCGTCAGAAAAAAGTTCGAAGAACAAATCAGTTAAAATTTGACAATAAATACAACAAATTGTCAAGTAACTTGTTTTTGTCAAATCCGGGTGGAGAAGGTTTCGTTGAGTTCACTAGCAGAGTTCCTAACCGTCTTCTCTATTCATGTTATTCCCATGTCGATAAATCTCTATCGCCTCTGTCGTCAATCTTTGGAAGTAATGTCCGTTTCTCGCTAGCACTTTGGTTTTGTCAAACTCTATAGTGTGTCCTCCTCCGTGGCAACGCTCTGCGACTGCAGACTGTTGGACTTTTCTCAGTCGTACATACCTTTCGTGTTTCTTGATGCGCTGATGATTCGATGTTACGTCCAGTTTGGCCAACGTAATATTTCCCGCAACTGCACGATAGCCGATGGAATCCCGCTCTTTAATGGAGTTAGTTTGTCTTTGGCTATCGGAAGAACGTTTTGTATTGTTGCTGACCATACCGTATCGTATTACGATATCATTCTTCTTTAGACTCCTCGTAATTCGCTCCGTCACACCTGAAACATAAGGAAGGCAAATAAAACCGGCTAGTGCCATCCTTCGGTTTGCGTGGTTTGGTGGCTCGTTGGATATCCCTTATCGTATAGCCGTTCTTCTGCAGTACGTCTTCTAGGAATCTTTCTTCTTTCCTCAGGTTCTCTTTATCACATATTCTCTCTGCTCGCTGATATAAGGCTTGAATTTATTTATTATATTAACATCTTCTGTTGTGGTTGGTGGTGGAATGAAATCTGCAGCGACTTATTCGTATGCATCTTCTTTCGATATACTCCCAGTTCCATGCCCCCCATCTGTCATTCAATTTTATCATAGGGTGCTCTGAATTGAGTTGGTCTAGTAATTCCTGGAGTTGCATTTTCCATGTTGCCAGATCACGAAAGTGTCATCGATGTAACGGAGCCATACCTTCGGTTTCCACTGACTCTTCTTTAACGCTTCGTCTGCAAACATCTCCATGTAAAAATTAGGGATCACAGGACAGATCATAGTGGTGATTCCATGGCTACCCCTTCGTATTGCTCGCAGAACTCTTCCTTTCAGCTAATATATGTCGACGATAGGCAGTACTCCAGTAGTCCTGGAACATACTTTAGCAAACCCTCCGGAATGAGTTTCTAGCGAAGACCATCCACGGCATCTTTGAATGGTACTCTGGTGAATAGAGAGATTCCACGTCGAAACTTACCAGGATATCCTGAGGGTCTAGCTTCATACTTCTGATTGATTCTACAAAATGTATGGAATCTCTGACATATGACTCTGTTTTACCGGTAAAAGGAGACATAATCTAGGCAAGGTGTTTTACTAGCTGATAGGTGGGAGAATTTATGAAACTGACAATAGGGCGTAGTGGGACCTCTGGTTTATGGACTTTAGGTAATCCATATATTCTTGGGGGTACTGGGGCCTGTACGAATAAGCTTTTGTGTTGCTCTGCTGGGATTCCAGTGTGTGATTTAACTAGTTCTTTCTTCTTCCTTACTATCTTCTCAGTTGGGTCCTTTTTTATCTTCTTATAGGTACCTGGGTTCCAAAGGCTTGTGATCTTGTCGTTGTATTCATTTCTGTCCATAACCACGATCGCATTCACCTTATCCGCTGGTAGGACGATAATGTCTGTTTTTCCCTTATCGTTCGCAATACTCTTCTTTCGTTCACTGTTATGTTTGATTTTGGTGGCTTTGCTGTTTTTAGCACTCTCGTTATGTCTTGACGAATTTCTTCTGCTTTCACTACAACGCAATGGACTTTCTGTACTTAAACCGCCTAATTTAAGAAATAGAATCTTCGTAATACTTATACTTTTCACATTCTCCTTTTTATATGTGGAACTAATGTATGAAAAATTGAAATTGTTTGGAATATTTTGTTATGTGAATTATTTTATTGATTCATAATGAAAATTCATTCTGTAAGCCAACTTATATTATCAAATGGTGATAAATGCGTTTATTACGCCGCATTTGGTATTAAAATATGTAGAAAAATGTTAATCTAGAATATGTTTCCATATTAGAATTATTTCAAAAAATAGTTTTAACTTTGAATAAAATTATTATTTTAACCATTAATAATATTTTAGTGAGCGATTCAACCTCTTCGGTCACTACTGACAAGAATGGACTAGCTTTAACAGTTGCTGTAACAGAAAATTTTCCTGATGCCTTTGGGCCACTTTCTTGTACCATGGTTCCAGATAAACAAGATGTAATAATTGCAGCTCTAGAGTGCCTTTGTAAACATGATATAAATCTTATTTTAACAATGGGGGGCAGTGGATTGCAAGTCACCGATATAGCAATGCTATCACGAGCCGTTTTTGGAATTAAAGATAATTCTGTGATTGTAAATTTACCCAACAATTTAAATAACGCATTAGAATGCTTTGGATTTATAAAATATGTTGTACCACAGTTAATTGATTTAGTCACACATCAAAATACAGCTGTTAAAACTGCCAATTCAGAAATCAAATCAGACGAGGAAGTAGTGAAAATTAATGAAGAAAATTATGAACCAAGTTGTTTCCAACTTTTACCGACAACACGGTTAAGCAATGTTTCTTCGTACGAAATTGTTAAATTTAATGAGGCTCTTGATATTGTTCGTAATTACACTTTAAAGTATCTCGCTAATGTCGAAGAAATTGCGATAGAAGAGTCTCTTAATCGAATTTTAGCTCCCGATGATATATTATACAAACGTTTGGATTTAATAATTAGAACATCAGAAACGAATGGATACGCTATGATAGCTTCAGATGATAAAAGTGAACGTTCATTAATAACTAGTTTTACTAACCACGATGATGTAAGTATAAGTTCTGGAGTAGTATATTTAAGTTAGTAACACACTTACATTGCTTCAGTTGTCACCATTTGTTCTTCATCCTGGAGAAGCTGTACGAATTAACGCTGGAAACTGCCTACCAAAGGGAGCTGACGCTGTTGTACCCATTGATGACGTTGTGGTTAAAGAACTTAAAAATGAAATTAAAATTATCACTAAAAATGCTCCAAAATGTGGTAAATACATAAAGTAAGTAAATCAAATAGCATAGCGATAATTTAAGGGGTTACATAGGTTTGAAAATTTCAAAAAATTATTTTTTTTATTTGATAGTATATGTTTAGAATACATTATTTTCCGAAAATTTCAAGTCAGTCGGTGTAAAACTCCACGAGACTATTTTAAATATTTAAATTTTATTCTAAATATTTTTTATCCAAGAGTACAATACGTTTAAAATATTTTCCGAAGGTTTCAAGTCAATCGAAGTAAAAATCAAGCAGATAAAGCCTTTGGAGTGGGCCAGACAAACAACCTTTCATCTTTTTGTTGTTACGGGATTAAAAAAAAAAAAACTTTGAGCGAGAAAAGAGCTGAGGCTACAACTCGAGAAGTAAAAGTTCATCTCAGGAACAAAAGGATGCCCTGGACATTGCAGCTATAGCAAGATCTTTGCTTTACGGAGTCGGAATGGACGATTCTATTTAAATAGTGCTAGTTTCAGTGTAAGTCCAAGTATTAGTTTGAGTGCTGGTGCTAATGTTAGCTTTAGTGCCAGTTCTTGTGTTAGTTTGACTTTCTTCTAAAAGCAAGCGCCCTTATTTTGGAAGTCAGCGGATACGATTACCCAAAAAGTATTGCACCGATTTTATTGTAACTTTGCACACTTCTTCAAAATAAGATTGACTAGTGATTTTCCTTTTTTTTTCGATTAGAACAAATTTTATTCGTACTTAAAACATTAAACGCATTTCTCTCAAAACTCTATTTTTGAAATCGGTAAATACGATTACTCAGAATCTATAATGCATCGATCTTATTGAAACTGTGTACACTTAATACTTCACACTAATATTAGCTGTGTAGATATTATACTTAAGGCTTTGATTAAAACTGATCTTACAGGGTTTTACGCAGTGAAAATTGTATTGTTTGAATATTTTTTAAAAACCACCAGTTAATATCTATACTTATCTGTTAATAGAAAAAAGGTTTTCTTAAATTCGGATAACCCATTCCTAAATAATCGTGCCTACCCTAAACCACTTTTTTTTAGAGGTCTTCGAAAACCGGAGCCCACAGGCTGAATTTTGAAAAATTTTCGAATTAAAATTTTCTAAAATATTGTCTAAATGTATGTGGTAACTTCAGCCACATAGCATCAGATTTAAATCCACAACAGATTCAGTTGACCAAATTACAGACCAACCAAGTACCGAACATGAATTTTAATTATTATTTTCCTTAAACCCGCGCACCCTGTGACTAGTCTAGATAATTCGAATAGGTGCTCTAGTATGCAGCCTGCCTATACGTATCACCAGATTTACCGTAGGGGCGGCGGGGTGAACTATTAAAGTAGACTCATTTCCACCACTAAACTAAGTGAACTAGTGAATGTCGCACCCTGAAACTTTCGTAGTTTCTTGTTTATAACTACAAGTCCTGTAATGAACAGTGATACAATATATCACTTAAAACAATTTAAATCAGCTAACAGCGAACATAACGTTGGATGAGTACAACATAATGAGCTATATGGACTATGACGACAATATTACAAGTCAAAGTCATTATACACATTCACCGTTTTACATTCATTTTCAAAGAATATTTACAGAGATTAAAGACACTATAGTAGGATGTGATAAGACAAACAGTTATGAAAAACACACTTTACAATGTGTACCTTTCGCTGAATATTTGATGAAAAATTATATGCCGTTTATACCACTTTGGACCAATCAATTTTGGTGTCAACGATAAAAACAACGGTAACGATACTATAGATAATTTAGCATGTAAAGAAAGCTGGCGACCAAAAATAAAAAAACAGCGTACACATTTTGATCAGAAAAAATTACAAGCTTTTCTTGAAAAGTATATCCCTTGCAGCGTCGAAGAGGAAACAGCTTCATGTTGTAGCACAGATTTTCACGATTTGCACTTGGATGCACCGTCACCATGTTCCTCTTATTCAAATACTTCAAAACGTCCTAGTAATGGTTTAATATGCAACGCTGATTATTATTTTGAAGCTGGAAAAAAACAACATTTACTCAAACAAACGTTTCCCGTTGGTGATAGTAATACAACAATTAAATTAATGAGCGATGATTTTTTACGATTGCATTCCAATAAAAATTTAACTGTTATTAATTCAAACACATTATCCGATAAGTGGTTATCGGATTATTGCAACGACGCGTTTGCGTTTTCTTTTTTGAAAAATATGTCGTCTTACATTACGCCTTACATACTACGTCGATACTGTTTCAACTCAGTTTATGTTTTCGGAAAACGACACCTTGAACTTAAAAATTTATACGGAAAATTTAAAAAATTACAAATATGTATTGATTCCTTACAACGTGAATTCTTGCCACTGGACGTTAATTCTTTTAAGTATGTCCGAAAAATTGATCTACTTTCTCGATCCCGGACATACAAACTTGGATAATAAAATATTCAACATGGTTAAAAAGTTCTTCCAGGTTTGTAACAGATCAAAAACTAATAATAACAAAATCAGCATTAAAAATTGGCAACCTGTTATAAATATCCAAAACAATCAGACGACATAAACTGTGGATTGTATGTTATCTATTTTATAAATATTATAGGTCGCCGATGCATTGTCAATGACTTATTTAATAGTACTGAAGAATTAGATTCAGAACAATATCGACTTTGGGTGCAGACTTATTTATTAGAAAATTCTGACAACATTAAAAAGCACTGCCCGCGATGTTGACTCTATACTGAATCCAGATATATTAGTTGCAATCATTGCAAAAGATGGTTTCATTTTGAAAGGTGGTCCAAAGTTCCTACTAATATTTCATTTCAGCAAGCGTCCAGCCCCAGTTTCCTGTTTACTTGTGAACTCTGCCCAACTTTTTCTCCTCTCTAAAATTACAATATTGTACTAATCGTATGTTCAAATAATTTTAAGTTGTAAACAAAATTAAAAACAACTTACAATGTAGTTCTACAAGCGCAACAATTTTTATAATAAATCATACAGAGTGTCCCAGAAAGGTGCACTACTCACTTGTACGATGCGTGGGAGAAAACCCCGAATTATCAGGCGCCTAAACGTGGTGTTTAGTGGTGAAAATGACTATACTTTAAAAATTCACCCTGTCGCCGCTACGGCAAATCTGGGGATGGCCATATAGGCAGGCTGCATCCTAGAGGACCTATTCGAATTATTTAACCCAGTTCCAGGGTGCGACATTCACTAGGGGTTAAGAAATTAAATCCTTAGTTTAGTGGTAAAAATGAGTCTACTTTAGAAATTCACCCCGCCGCCCCTACGATAAATCTGGGAATAAATTCAAATTATCTAGACTAGTCGCAGGGCGCGACACTCCGTGGGGTTTGAGAAGAATAATAATTAAAATTCATGTTCACACTTGGTTGGTCAACTGTAATTTTATAAATTCCAATCTATTGTGGATTAAAATCTGAAGTTAACTTCAGCCACATCTAAATGTTTCTTTTATATGAATAAAACTTTTAATATAATAACTTTTTATTATTTTTAAAAAAAATTAGAAAACTTGCTTGTTTAAGCATTCGAAACCCATGTAACCCCTTAAGATTAAACAAAGTTAGGATAACTTTTCCTTCATAATATGATGTGTTTTAGATCAAAACAAGTTGAATTTACAGCTAGAAACGTCATTACTTCCACTCATATTGGAATATTAACAGCTTTAGGTCATTCAAAAATTAAAGTTTACAAGTACGTTATTATTTTTTAGGTTGTCTAATACAGTAAAACCTCGATGGAACGGATTTCAGCATTAAAACTAACACTAGACCTAGAACTAGAAACATTCTTCAGACACACGGCTAAACCCGAAAGTTTCTAGTTCTAGGTTTAGTGTTAGTTTTAGTAGTTATTCAGCGCTAGATTGTTTCATATTTTTTGCATGTGCTAATTCAAATAAAAAAGAGCTGTGCACCTATCCCGGGATGTAGCAGTCTTAGATTCTACCGTCCTTGGTATAAATATAAAGCCACGTAGAAACGCGACGGTATGGATATTAAATTATTCATTCAAACAGTTTAAAGTGCAAATTACAAAATTTTTCACATAACGGACTTTTGGCTATAACGGCCCTATAAGGGCCTATTTGGCCCTTCCCCATATTAATCCGTTATATCGAGGATTTACTATATTATATTATAAAATAATGTTATAAAATCGCAGGCGTGCACGTGTTGGAATACTATCAACAGGTGATGCATTGTGTTTAAATATTGATAAAGATGTAAACGGTGCCCATGTCACAAATAGTAATAATTTAGCATTATTGAATTTTTTGAAAACTTTTGGATATTCTGCAAATGATCTCGGAACTGTAAATCATGAGTAATACTTCTTTTAAATATTATTATCTAAATAGTACAAAAATATCGTTGGCTTTGTAGCCCGAACTTGTTAAAACGAGCATTACGGAAGGCTTTCTCTCATCATGATGTAATAATAACAACAGGAGGCGTTTCCCAGGCTGAACATGAGGTAATGAAGAACGTTTTAAGCTTAGATTTTGGAGCTACTATTCGATTTGGTCGAGTTGATATAGAGCCAGGGTAAATCAATATATTTGTAAACTAATCCGATTGCATTCAAAAATTATGTTTTAGGTATTGGACAACTTTTGCGACGTGTTCCTTTAACGGTTCCACAAAGTTTATATTTTCCCTGCCGGGAAATTTTAATGCGGTTTTGGTAACTAGTAGATTATTTGTTATACCAGCTTTACGCAGATATGAGAACGCAATAGATGACACGTATCGTATATATAAAGTAGAAGTGGTAAGCAGTACTGAAATATGATTATTTTAAAGATTGTTATTTTATAATTATATATGTTTAAAGAATCATCGTAGATCGCGACATTTCTGGAGTGGTGAACGAACGCGTTTTATGAAAACCGCCATAACATTGAAAACTGATAGCTCATCAGCCAATAAATTTCTTGCAGTATTTAAAGACGACATCAATTGTAGTCTTTCTTATAGCAATGCTGCATTAATAATTATTCCTGAAAACAAACTTATTAATAATAAAGTGACTGTTATTTTAGATGGCATTATGTTGTACAGGTAAATATTATTATCATTATTTATAGTGTAATAATTAAAAAGAATGTAATGTTTATTTTCACTATGAGTATTTTTTTAACATTACCAACATATCATTAACAGCCTTGAAAAATTTGTTATCAGTAAGAATTTAGCAGATTAGCTAACCAGAAAGGTATAGACAAAGAGAAGTCTTAACAAACCCACTTTTACTCATAGAATGTTATATGGATGTTCTAAATAGAGTATTGTTGACGTCAAATCCATTCGATATGGGCATGGGCACAGAAACTTTAGATATGATTCTTTCCCAATAATCATTTTAAAAGCTGATTATTCCAAAAGTGCTAATGTGATTAATAAACATGAAAATTCTTTTTTCAAATTAACAGTTTCCATAATCCCTTTCTCGAAGATAATACTAATTCTCGGTGTGAGCGAAATCAGATGGCCTGGAACAAACCAAACAGATCATTAAGGATACCATGTAATATCCATTAATATGCAGATGGTACCTAATAAAGTCCCTCAACACTATAATGGGTTGGCAATAATAATGTACAAAAACGCAAAAGATCCGTTAAAAGAATTGTACTTATATCAGACCGATTTACTGAAAACACAGATTTTCGAATCACATGAATATTCAAATCTATGCTACCATGGTGGAAACACGCGAGCATGAAATAAATCTTTTTTAAAAAACCTACTACTATTAAAATTTACAGGCAAAAATTAAGTTAACATAATCATGGACGTCTTTAATGCAAAAATAGTTAGAGGAAGAAGGTGGACGAAATGATAGGATCGATATAAGAGTATAGTTCTTGAACGAAAAATTTTTAATGGTCGCAATTACATGTTTCAAGCTCCAAAAGGGCGACTATGATTGTTCTAGTTTTAAAAATGACTTTTCTTTTAAACCAGTAGGGGTCTCTTTGGTGTTGGAGATGATTAATTCTATTGCCTCATCTGCAGTTGGAGCGGATGGTGTCTCCATTGACATGATCAAAATGTCTTGTCCGACTATTTTGCCATATTTAACTCATATTCTAAACTGTTGTTTAACGGAACATGTATTTCCTATGGAATGGAAGCGTGCTGTGGTTGTTCCGTTGCCTAAGAAGGGTGACCCACAGGAATATGGTGACTTGCGACCTATTAGTGTGCTCCCAGTCCTTTCCAAAATTTTAGAAAAGATTATGAAGATACAGTTGGCAGAGTATGTGGAACTGAAGGGTTTACTCCCATCGCAGCAATCGGGCTTTAGGTGTGGGTATAGCTGCACTACATCAATGCTGAATTTAACAGATGATTTGCTGACTGCTCGTGACAGAATGAATACCGCCGTAGTTTTCTTGGATTACTCTAAGGCATTTGATACTGTACTGTTAACCATACTGTTATTTGTAAATTATTTCGATATTTGGGATTTAGTGAAGACACAGTATCTATTTTACGTGATTATCTTAGTGATCGCACACAGCGGGTGAGGATTGACGATTCTGTTTCTAGTGATTTGGCAGTAACAAGCGGTGTTCCACAAGGTTCTGTGTTGGGTCCTATCTTATTTTCTTTATATACTTCGCAGTTCAGCAAATTTATTCAGTTTTGTAAGATTAACTCTTATGCAGATGATACCCAACTGTACGCTTCTTATGTGGATGCGAATAGTGGTGTTGTTGAACATAATATACACAAAGATCTTGAAAAAATATTTACACTTGCTTCTTACCATCACTGTGATAAACCCTGACAAATCTATGTGGATGTGCTTTAGTAGTCAAAAGCGTGTTGCTGCTCCTGACTTGGCTATTAAGTTGAATGATACTTTAATTAAAAGAGTTTCAGAAGCTAAGTGTCTTGGATTGATTTTAGACAATAATTTTAGATGTAAGCAACAGATTGCAATGTATATTAAAAGATCTTACTACAATTTGCGAATTCTCTATCCGCATTGGTCATACCTGCCCACAAAAGTGAAAATAAGTTTATGTGAAGCATTTGTGCTCTTACATTTTGACTTTATGTCTGCTATACAGCATGTCCCGTATCTTCCGCATCAGAGCATTATACGGTTGTAGGATACATTATTCTGAAGCGATCTTTCTAATAAAATTTTTTCGAAATGTTTATAATAACCGCACGGGAACTGTTTAAAGGAACTGTTTTNACCTGGGCCCATAACCTATTGAACTTTGCTAGTAGTAAAACGCAGTAGGATTTAATTTGACTCCACAATATATTTATAAAAACTCTCCGTCGTCATTGTCAGACATCTTACATCTTGTGTAACATCCGGTTATTATACGTAACCAACTTCACACTACTTATTCTTACTTTTACATACAGATGTCGCGATAGTCAAACCCTAATACAGTCCTTTCCAAAATTTTAGAAAAGATTATGACAGTACAGTTGGCAGAGTATGTGGAACTGAAAGGTTTACTCCCATCGCAGCACTCGGACTTTAGGTGTGGGTATAGCTGCACTACATCAATGCTGAATTTAACAGATGATTTGCTGACTGCTCTTGACAGAATGAATACCGCCGTAGTTTTCTTGGATTACTCTAAGGCATTTGATACTGTACTGTTAACCATACTGTTATTTGTAAATTATTTCGATATTTGGGATTTAGTGAAGACACAGTATCTATTTTACGTGATTATCTTAGTGATCGCACCCAGCGGGTGAGGATTGACGATTCTGTTTCTAGTGATTTGGCAGTAACAAGCGGTATTCCACAAGGTTTTGTGTTGGGTCCTATCTTATTTTCTTTATATACTTCGCAGTTCTGCAAATTTATTCAGTTTTGTAAGATTAACTCTTATGCAGATGATACACAACTGTACGCTTCTTATGTGGATGCGGATAGTGTTGTTGTTAAATATAATATACACAAAGATCTTGAAAAAATATTTACTCTTGCTTCTTACCATCACTTAAAAACACACCCTGACAAATCTATGTGGATGTGCTTTAGTAGTCAAAAGCGTGTTGCTGCTCCTGACTTGGCTATTAAGTCGAATGATGTTTTAATTAAAAGAGTTTCAGAATCTTGGTTTGATTTTAGACAATAATTTTAGATTTAAGCAACAGATTGCAATGTAAAACATCTTACTACAATTTGCGAATTCTCTATCCGCATCGGTCATACCTGCCCATAAAAATGAAAATAAGTTTGTGTGACGCATTTGTGCTCTCACATTTTGACTTTATGTCTGCTATACATATATGATGGTGCTATTGATGCGGTCACTTCGAGAAGTATACAGAGAGTACAAAACAATTGTCTTAGATTTATCTATGGAAATCGAAAATTTGAAAGAATTTCTTATAAACTTAAAGAGGCTGGTTGGTTGAGTATGTGCAACAGGAGGGAGTTTTACAGTTTGGTTCTATTCCACAGAATTGTGGTCTCTGAAATTCCGGAATATCTATATAATATTATATTTAAACCACAGCTTCGTCAAACCAGGTCATGAGTCAGTTTCTATCCGCCGAAATTTAGAACTTCAATGTTCCAGCGATCGTTTACGTACCAGATTTACAAATCATACGGATCTTTAGCAATTCTGTTGCGACAGTTGTCTTTATCTCGATTTCGCACAGAACTAAGGAGACTAATGTTTTGTCAGCAGTCAGCGGATGTCAGTTGATTCTCATCTGAATTGAGTTTTTTTTTAATTATTTTCTATTACAGGCTCTACAAGGGCAACATTATCAGGTTGTTTTTCTTTTTTTCTTTCCTTTTCTTTTGTTGGATAGAGTAGATTTTTCTGGATCCCGCCGTTTGTATCTCGATAACTTAAAATTTTATTTTAATTTACCGTAACACATTGGGGTATCGTTGTTTTCATTTATTGTTTAAGTTATTTTGTATTATAATTTCACAATTATGCATACATTTATATAGGTAATATACAGGGTTATTATAAATGATGGACCCACTTTTAAAGATGAATATTTATTAAAGTACAGATCCAAAATGAACAATCATTATACCAATGGAAAGAGGAAATTTCAAAGCTTTTTTGCAATACATTATAAATGTTCAATGGGCCACCGTCTGATATCATCCGTTCGTTTCCTCTCTGTAAAAATACTAACAATAAGTAGAAAAGAATGCGATTGCGGTATGTCGCACCATAGCGACAAATAAACATAATTTTATTATTCATCTTTTTGTCTTATAACAATAAATATGTACGTCTTCGTCAAAAGTGAGTGAGATGGCTACCGTGGAGCACAAGGTTTTCTGCGTTCTTGAGTTCGCAAGAAGTGAGTCACAAATTGTAGTGCAGCGGGCATTTCGTACAAAATTCGGTATCGAACCACCAACTAGAAAAAGCATTAAGCGTTGGTTTACGCAATTTCAACGAACTGGAAGTGTGTGTAAAGGGAAAAGCACAGGTCGACCGCGTGTATCAGAGGATGATGTCAGACGTATTGAAGAAAGTTTTGTTCGCAGTCCAACAAAGTCTACCAATAGAGCTAGTAGTGAACTTGGAATATCCCAGTCACTACGGTCTGAAAAGTTCTGAGGCGGCGTTTGCTGTACAAGCCTTACCGATTACAACTTGTGCAGGCTCTCAACCATAATGACAAAGAGAAGCGTTTCGAATTTTGTAGTTATGTGCTAGGAATGATGGAGGATGACGCGTTTCTGCAGCGTATTATTTTTAGTGATGAAGCGACTTTCCACCTTAGTGGAAAAGTCAACAGACATAATTGTTCGCATATGGGGTTTGCAAAATCCACATTTAACATTGCAACACGAAAGAAACTCACCGAAAGTAAACGTGTTCTGTGCCATATCTCGTACAAAGGTTTATGGACCATTTTTCTTTGCGGAACGATCTGTAACTGGAACAACGTACCTGCACATGTTGGAACAATGGCTGTTTCCTCAAGTTATGGAAGATTCACAGGACTTCATATTCCAACAGGACGGAGCTCCGCCCCATTGGCATCTTCATGTATGAGACTTTTTGAATGCAGCCCTTCCTCAACGCTGGATAAGTCGCAGGGGAAATGAAGACCTGGCTCTTCACTTTTGACCACCGAGATCTCCTGATCTCACTCCATGTGACTACTTCTTATGGAGTTCTGTTAAGGAAGCTGTTTACGTCCCACCTCTACCAACAATTCTGGACGATCTGCGAAACCGTATCACAGCTGCTGTGCACTCAGCAACAGTAGATACACTTGCTCGTGTGTGGGACGAGTTCGGCTACCGCATAGATGTTTGCCGTGCAGCGGACGGTGGACATATTGAACATTTATAGTGTATTGCAAAAAAACTTTGAAACGTCCTCTTTCCATTAGTATAAAGATTGTTCGTTTTGGATCTGTACTTTAATAAATATTCATCTTTAAAAATGGGTCCATCGTTTATAATAACCCTGTATATTCATTTAGTTTTACTTTTTATTGTGTATATGTATGTATATGTATATTTTCTTTTTATTTTTCTACTTGTTCTATATGGGATACAATAAAGTCATATTATTATTATTAGTCATACAATTTCATTATTCTTAACCAAGTTTAATGCTGGCACAGATATGTCTGACTCATGGTTGTCGTAAATTAACAGAACCTTATCATCAACAGTGCGCTTCACATGAGATATAAAATGTTTTAGATAATCAACGAATAAATTTTCATTTATCCATCCACTAGGATTTGCACCTCCCATGGATCCGATTGGCGCTCCTTTAAGCATGAGATCTTTAAAATATATTCTCGGAAAAATGATCATTGGAGGTACGTGATTATATATACTGCCTGAAGTGACGCTACCGATCTGCTTTTTACCCTTTCTTGCTAGGATTTTTGGAGGAACATGAGCAGTTGAATTTGACGTTTCGTCAACATCATAAATTTTAAGTTTTTAAGTTAAGACAAGTTAGTAGCACGTGAAAAACTAGTAGGCTCAGCGGCTCAGGCTTTCGAAGGCTTATTATTGGATGTCGAGAAACCCGCGAACCCATTCCCTACCAGTTGTTCTTTCTTTATTCCAAGAATCTGGTATAACTTTTTTTTTTAAAACCGAATTCATATACTAATTTTTGCAATTCTTGTATCGGGATGCCGTAATGTAAGTCAACTGTTGTTACATAATTTACTGATAGATGTTCCTCTGTAGCAGAGAAAATTCGCCAATTCATTGTTGACTTTTCAAGTGAGGAAGTAGTGTTCTCTTAACAATTTGGTAATTTAGACACTCAGACACTGATATCATTTTTCCTCTTTCTCTTATAGAAATAGGAGCTTCCCTTTAAAAGTGCCCAATTTGGCCCACCTGTACAATGTTATTCGATAATGTAATTCTTATAGGCTATGATTCATATGGTATATATTTTTTCCGTCGACTGTGTATTTATATGATTTATAAATGTATACAAAATCATTCATTAATGACACCTATTAATAAATGATTTTCTATTAATAAACGATTTTAAGAAAGTCCGACCGAACTAATATAGTAGTCAATAAAAAAAATAATAAACGTCGCGCCACCTCGCGTTTTTTTTGGATATTTTGTTTTCTAATACTAACAGAAACAGGCCGCCTGTAATACCGACCCAACCGACCACTATATCTATTCGGTAAGACTACAATAAGTTTTGACTTTTGACACATTAAGGCTCGTTACTACCATCTTCTGGTTAAGCTATCTTAGGGATTATTACCACGGTTACGGCTATTTTAAGCGCTCTGATTGGCTAGTAGATGGGTTTATCTATAAGATAAATTTAACTAAAAGATGGTAGTAATGGACCTAAGAGTGAGGTTTTTATTATGGATTAAAATATCTCGATAATTAATCGCCTTCATTAATAGACTTGTTGGTTAAATAACTATTAATTCACTTTTTTAATTTTTTTTATAACCTGTATTATTTTGGAAAAACTATTTTTAGATCAGACTGCGCAAAATTTAAACATTTATTGTCTCTTATTTTCCTTTTATTTGCCATTTTGATATGAACAAAATGTTAAAATCATTTTTACTTTCATAAAAATAACATTGTTCCTGATTACTTTATTCCATGTAAAAAAGTTTCAATTTTAAATTTGTATATTTTCTAAATTTCACATTATTTCCATAGATTATTTACAAAATTTTACTAGATTTCAGCACATTTTATTAGTAAATTTTGAATTTCAAGCACATTCTGTTGCATAAATATATTCAAATATGACAAAAATTTAGTCTAAAACTTCATTTAATGGTTTAGAAATAGTAGATCGTCGTTTAAATGGTTGCTTAACATCTGCAACGGGTAATCCAGGTTTACCATTTCGATTTTCATACGTAAATTGCCAATAAGACATACAATTAGAACTATAAAGTGGATATTTTTGGTATAGCTACAAAAAAAGACGAAATAATAATGATTCAATTAGTAAATGTAAAAAAATACCTCGGGTGAATCTCCATAAAATTGATCATTTGGTTTATATCCATCAATATAATAACTAACATCGTAAGTTGTACAATATTTTTCGACTGGTGGCGGTTCGGCTTTTTCTTCCAAAAGCTGGTTTGTTATATCATTAGTTAATTGACGTACGAGATTCGCTCTTCGTTTGCCCATGTTAGTACGAAGATCCGGTTTTTGCGGCCATGGATATGTAATCTTCATAGTTGAACATATATCCGATGGCAACAAATTCGAACCATCTCGTATTAGAAAACTTCCTGAACCTTTTCGCTTAGATTGCGGAGAAATTTCTTCAGATTCTGTACTATCACATTCTTCTTCATCTTCCTTAGGCAATTTCACAGCACATGCATGAATTATTCCATCCATTTCTAATATTAGTTTTAAAAGAATTTGATTAGGATTTTATATTTTTAAATCAGCTTTGACAGTAAATATGACTAAATTGACGTAAATAGTAGAATCTACAAGTTTTATGGTTGCTAAGAAAATATTGATTTAAGTTTTTTCCCGAGTTATCATTACTTTAACGAAATTTATATTAGGATAACCAATATTTCTTTAATGATCTCTTTGTAAAAATGTTATGAATATTTAAAACTTCTAAATAAGAATAAACCAAATTCTGAATAATAAATAATAAAACAGAAACGTGAAAATTTAGAGGGCGATAAATACAGGGTGCGGCAACATAACTTCCTTTTTCCAAAACTTAATAAAACGTATTGTATGAATCAGAAAAGTTTTATTTGCTTTTTATAATGCAGGCACATATATAAAGTTTTGTTTAACACAGTTTTGAAGCTCAAATCAGGTAGGTGACGTCCCCCATTATCCATATACAGGGAAACGTCGTTTTACGCCCGGGTTCTGTTCCGAGAGACACCGGCGTAAACAAAATCGGCGTAAAATGAACACAAATATAATGGACGGTATAAGGTTAGGTTCCTGTTATGTTTATTTAATACATATCCTATATATATTCAAAATAAATAATAATCTCTTGATATAAATAATAAATTTTTTGAAATAAATCCAAAAATCCAGTTTCATTTGCTTTGATTGTTGCTTCCTTTCTTGCAGAATCATAGCATAAGGTCGAAGGGCAGCTATGACACTTCTTTTAACATTTCCGCTTCGATTGTAATCCCCATCTATGTCACAGAGCTCACCTGTTAACTTTTCTATAGAGGAAAGGATACGAGTTAGATAGTCGGTTTTTAGGATTTTCCTATCATTTTCTTTCTCATCCTCCTCTTTTTCTTCGGGATTTTCTGATTGAGGGCGATCATATGCCTCCATCAACTCTTCTAATTCTTGATTTGAGATTGGTTATTCATGCACGTCTAACAGTCCGGTCACATCTTCAGTTGTTACGTCTTCGAATCCACATTCGCGTGTAAACTTGATAATGTCTTCGTTTATGTTAATGTTATTTACCACTTCTACACTTGCACCTTGTATAAATCCAGGAAGAAGTTTACACCAAACGCCGTTTAAACAATTGTTTGTCACTTCGTCCCTCTTAGCTTTTGTCAAGACCTCTAAAAGCCCGTGGATTCTGGGAATGGTACACTTCCATTGGCTTAAATTTTAAAGAACCAGAAATATTTGATTCCAAGAGAACAGTTAGTCTATCCTTAATAATATATATAATAATAATATATATTTATTGGTGAAACCAAAAAAAAAAAGTACAATTTACAATTACAAAAGAAAATATCAGGTAAAAAAAAATGAATTATATATTAAAAAAAAAATGAAGTACTAAACCATAAATAATAAGCGGTTTACCAAAGGAAACCGAGTCAATGCACCTGATGGACTCAGGTGTTATTGTTTTTCATCTTTCCCTTGATCAATATAGAAAATATATATAAACAGAATTCGATCATGCAGTAACACAATAAGGTAAGAAAGAAGAAAAAGAAAAATAAATAGAAGAGGAAGGATAAGAAAGAAGGGATAGTTTTATACATACTATATATATATCCCGTCAAGCAAAAGCTTGTTTATCTTAAATCACCCTGCTGCCGAAGAAGATATGCTTTGTAAAAAAATTTAAAACTACTCTTAGATTTATTGTTAATATCAGTAGGAATGCTATTGATCAAATTAGGTATGCTATATGAAAAACATCGTTCAAAAATTTGCAATCTATGTTGGGGTATAGACAAGGAAGAACGACGACGGATGTTGATGTTATGCACATCACAGCGGTATCTCAATTTATTTAACAAGTAGGGAGGCTTTTGATTGAAAATAATTCTTCGATACAAACAAGCAGAGTGCAATTTACGACGCCGACGCCGAGACATATTTAACCACCCAACCCAGTTTAAGGTATAGGATATTTTTTCTCGCTTTCGAATGCCAAATATAAAGTGTAAGCATGCATTTTGCACACGTTGAACACGCAACGACTCGGCAACATCTAAACAGGAGCTATATAGAACATCCCCATAATTAAAAATGCTTAATACCAGTGCATCACAAAGCTGCGCTCTCAGACGCTGATTAAGCAGTTGTCTATTACCATATAGTAGCTTCAACGTCGCATAAGCACGCTGGAGAAGAGAAGCGACATGTTTACGAAATCTAAGAGTAGAATCAATAGTGATTCCCAGGTTTCGCGACTCATCAGTAATCTTTAGCTTAACGCCATTCAATTTTAGATCCACAGATGCCTTGACCTCCCCAACGGCTCGCCGCCCCCCAAAGACATAACCGACGATTTATCCGGGTTTAATTGAAGGCAAAGTTTTGAAGATTCCTCAACCAATCTTGTCAAATCAGAATTTATACAATTTTGTGCATCAGCAAGGTCATTGATGTTAAAAGAATAGTAAAGTTGCGTATCGTCAGCATACATGTGAGCCTTACAACTTCTCAGTACATTATATAAATTGCAAGTGTAAATTAATAAGAGAATTGGACCAAGAACTGATCCCTGAGGAACTCTAGACGATACAGCACATTCAGTAGAGAAGTTGCCATTTAGAGCTACCATTTACCTACGACCAGTTAAATAGTTACAGAAAAATAAAATGGAATCATCAGAAAGTCCAATGTAATGAAGCATAGATGAAAGAGTGCCTGGCGGCTTTAAATCCACGAGCACTACGTTCTTCTCGCGAAATAAATGTTCTCGATGGCAACTTCTTCCAATAGAGGCCTGTTTCATCAAAATTGAAGATGAGATCTGCAGGGTAGTTCCCTTGTTCCACAATTTCTTGAAACTTTTAAAGGTAAGCTGCTGCTGCTTCTACATCAGCGCTCGCCGCTCGAGGTATAAACGGATATTGGTTCGACATTTGAATCTCGTCAAGTACCCAGTGCTTACTAAGAAAGTTTCGTCAGTGATTTCTTGCGCCTTCAAATCAGAAAAAATCAACTGTGCTTTTTCGCATATGATTGCTTGTGTTACAGGAATATTCTTTTGATTTGCATCATCAACCCACAATGCCAACATTTTTTCCATTTTCTCTATATTTTTTTTATTGTCGTCTGATGTCAGGCGAACCGGGGAATCCCACGCCGGCACCAACCGGCGTAATTATTGTGAATTGGCGTAAACCGAACCGGCGCAAAACGACGTTTACCTGTACTGAGTAAACCGATTTCTGGCGTTTGTCATGACTCTTGCCAGTATAGCAGGGATTATGTTGGCAATTTCTTCCTGGATGTTGGTCAAATCTTGTAGCGTCCTTGGACGGTACACATAAACAAATGGATTTCAAAAAATCCCATAAAAAAGAACCACAAGGAAACAAATCGGGAGACCGGGCCGGTCACTCCAAATCACCCTTAATTGAGATTAGGCGTTTTGGGAAGTTTTCCTTCGAAACAGCCATCATCCTCTTGAAGTTTGAGCCGTTGGACAGTCTTGTTGGAACCAAATGTCCCTTAAGCCCAACTCAGCCGTGGTGATCGCAACACTAAAGCTCTTACTGCCTCAATGTTCTCAGGTGTTCTAATTGGTCGAGGGACTCCAGTTCTTCGTCATGTCGCACTTGGAGTTTGTCTGAACGTAGTGACCCACGTAACAATTGATTTCCGATCCGGAACAGGGGCTAAATTAAAGCGACTCCGAAAGGCCCACTGGGTTGCGATCACAGAATATCCGTTCGAAAAGTAGACCTCAACGGGAAACGCACGCTCTTCACTGATCTCACGCGTGATGGCACCTGAACTTTGTCGGAACAAAACTTTATAGTCACATAGTTACATGGCGCACATTTCGAAAAAGGAAGTTATGTTGCCGCACCCTGTATTTACCTCTATATTTTACCTGTATTTACCATTCTCACCTCTCCTATGATGCCTTTTAGTTGATGACTTGATGAACACCTTAACAAAAAATGGTTTCATGATTCAGGGATATGCTCATGACCTGGTAATCACAATGCGAGGTAAATATGACACAATCATAATTCAAGTAATGCAGAAAGCCCTAATACTTACCAACACTTGGTGCAGAAGCAATGGGCTCAGCATCAAGCCAAACCAAATCGAAATAGCCCTCTTCACTTGGAGAAGGAAGCTACAATTGAGAGCACCCTCCATTGAAGGCAGAACTATTAACCTCAAAACAGAAGTTAAATACCTAGGGGTAATACTAGATAGTAAATTAATCTGGAACTCCCACATAGACAAGGCGAGGAAACAGGCCATTATGGGTAACCAGATCTGCCGCAGGCTCTTCGGAAGGAACTGGGGTCTCAAACCACGAATGGTTCATTGGGCCTACGTAGCAATAATCAGACCCATGGTTGCCTATGCCTCACTGGTTTGGTGGCCAAAAACAAATCATAAGACAGCACAAAAACAGTTGTGCAAAAAAGCACAAAAAATAAGATCTTATCCGACAGCTGCTCTTGAACTCGGTCTCACACCACTTCCTTTATATATACAAAAGGAGGCAACTTTAAGTGCCTTATCACTGAAAATATGCTCTTCACTCAAGCTGATGCAGGGTAATCTCAGAGGACACCTCGAGATCCTCAAGGAATCATGTCTAAATCACTTGATTGGAATTAAAACGGACCTTATACCGACAGAATACAAATTCGACAAGACGTATAATTATCCGTCATATTTAGAAACAGGGATGATTGGACGAAGGGTGGACCTCAACTAAAAAGAGGAGTCCTTGTACACGGATGCTTCAAAGACAGTTGGATCCGGAGTAGCTATTGGCATTAGAGGACCAAACAGGCGCATTAAATTGCCCCTCAACTCGGACATAACCATTTTTCAAGCAGAAATACTTGCTATAAACTTCAGTACCGCTTTGAACCTACAAAAGGGACAGAAAGGTGCATCCATAAACATTTTCACAGACACTCGGCTCGCCCTAAAGGCAATTCAGGCCTACACGTGTGACTTCGCATGGATTAGAGAGTGTACCAGCAATCTGGGAGAACTCGCTAGGGGCAATGATGTTACTCCATGGTGGGTTTCAGGTCACGGAGGCATGGAGGGCAATGAGAAGGCGGATAAGCTGGCCAAAAAGGCAGCGATAACACCATTGGACCCCAACCCGGTTGTGGACTACAAAAAAGCCACCTAAAACAAGTCAAACTAAGTAATCAACAGTTGGGAGGCCTCAAAGGTAGCCTTACGCTGGAAAGAACTTCCAGGTCACAGACAAGCGAAGAGTATGATAACTCCGTCGCAAAACAAAGCTAAAGAGATTTTATGCCTCAGCAAAGGGGATCTAAAGACGCTCTCAGGTTTCCTGACCGTCCATGCGCCCCTAAAATACCATCTCTTTCACACTGGACAAGCTGAAATTTGTCGACTTTACAACGACGAGTCAGAAACGGCTGAACATATACTGTGTAATTGCATAGGACCTACATTTGCCCTAAAACATGATATTATAATTATGTTAAATTGTAGCTTGTAGATTCTAGTTTACGATATGCTATAAAAACGAAAATATTTCGAATTTTTAGAAAATATTTTATTTCATCAGCAATCCTTATCAAAATCAACCTAATTTCGTGTTAAGTATTTAAATGTGAAATAAAAACCATAGCATTCCATTTAAAATTACAATTTTGTGGTCTACCATCGGGATGATCGTCCCATATAGAAACATGAATTTGAAACTTGTTTTGTGATTGCTCGTAGAGGGCACTAGATACACACTGTTCGTTTGATAAATGAAATCATAAGTTTTTTGGCTATTGAGCTACGACCAATAAGAGCTACAAATTACAAAAAGCATTAAATTTTACATAAAAAAGGTACTCTTATTTAAATTGTGTAAGTCTATCGGTTTTCGAATTATTTACTTTTAAATGTTGAAATGTATTTTTGCTTCTAAAATTTCAATTTTTTGACATAAGCAAAGTTGTTTCGATGTTTCGACAAATAATTCTCTTGTTAATTCTCAACATTGTTCTAATTTCCGTGTGCAATAATCATCTTTACTAACAATAAAGTTATTACCAATTTGAAAATGCTACGTTGTTTGAGAATCCGTGTCTCTTATGACAAACCAGATATAGTCGCCCATCATTCTTTCATCCCAAATTCCCTGATAACGCCGCTCAATGTTCTTCATTTGTTGGTGAAACCTTTCGCCATGTTCGTCACTTACGTCACCAAGATTCTCTGGGAAGAAATTTAAGTGTGAGTGTAAAAAATGAATTTTTAGAGATATATTTACACCTGTTGGAAAAAATTTAAATTAAATTAAACATATAACTGAAAATAATGTAATAACGTGTATTTGTAAACTGCCTGCATCCCCGTAGCTTTTGAAATGTACATCGAAATTAAATTCAGAATAAAAAACGTGTCATTCCTTCATTGTTTTTTTATTCTGAATCTAAATGTCTCTTAACTCGAAACCTGATCCATACCCATTTTTGCATAATTCTGAAGCAAATTTTCAACAATTGTCTCGTAATTCGGACTTTTATCGTTTCCAAGAAAATCAGAAAAAATTAACTGAAACGAATACCAGGCTGCAGCTTCAACGGATGATAAATAGATTTGAAATTTGTCATCTTTTAAAAGTTTTTCTATTTGTGGACCGTTGGAAACACCTTTCTTGATTTTTGAGAAAGAAAGATTTTGAAATAAGGTTCTTAAACGCTTGGCCTTCTGTATCCGGGTCTTTCACAAAATTCTTGAAGAGTCCAAGTTTAATATGTAATGGTGATAGAAGGATATTTTCTTTTTTAATAAGAGACAAGTATTTAATGTTGCCCTCGCCCATTGTGTGGCTTTTTCTTTCAGGTCATTGCTTCCTCTTATAATAGTATTCCCTTGCGCAGCTCTCCCAAAAGACAAAGGTAACAACAATATTTCGTGTAGCCGCTTTGTAAACCACACAACATGCCTGTGACTTTTAAATCGGCACAAACTTTCCATTCATGGTCTTCGTAATTAAGAGATTTTAATAGTTTAACTATTGTTTCGTACGATTCTTTGGTATTTACAGCATGCGCGATCGGAATTGATGGTTTCTCATTTCCATTATGCAAGAGAGCTGCTTTCAAACTAGTTTTATTGCTATCAATAAATAACCGCCACTCGTGTGCATTATAAAGCTGGCCAAGCTCCTCGAACAAACCGGGAATATCTTTGCAAAAGCATATGTTATCAGTTGACGTATAATACTTTGTGTAAGGCCTGTTACGGTCTCTGTAATATGTTACTTTAACACTCGTATCCAAAAAGTGATATTGCTTCATACGAGATGCATGTAATTTTGCTTTCTCCTTTGAAAGCTCCAAGTCTCTCACCCAATCATTCAGTTCTTCCTGTGTTAGAAGAGCTGTTCATGCTGTCCTTGACGTTTAGTTAAATCACTTTGGAAATCTGACGTGCAAGTACTACTAAGGACTATAATGAAAGTTTGGGACTGAGATAAATCAGGGCAGTTATGGATGGGAAGTGTATCTGAATGCGGAACTGGAAACGTGACAGATGGTACATTTGCATAAACCCATCGCATATTTTTTCCAATTCTGGTTTGTTTACTTAGGCAAATGTAGCAGTCGGTTGTATGACAAAGTGGTTCTCTCCAAATTATTGGTACACCAAATTTCATGTACCGCCTAACGTTAAAAAAAGTTATAAACTATAAAGTATTTTGACCCATCGACTAAGATTTATATGGCAATTAAGACATAAAAAACTTGGTGTCCATTGTTCTTGAAGATTTTCAGCTGCTATTCCAAAATATTGGAGATAATTTTCTTGTACCGAATTAGTAAATTTACGCATGTTTTTCTTGACGACATATTCACCACACACATAACAGAAATTAAGGGGGTCGTATTCACACTCAAAAATTCGTTGTCTTTTATTCATTTTATAATCAAGTATACAATTAAACTATATTACACGATACAATTTGTGAACAACCGTTTAACGCTGAATATGGAACTCGAATGAATAACTTTAGCAATCTTACTCTCCACGAAACCTTCCCTTACAGTGGGGGTTTTTATGATGCTCACTTTTTTCTTAACATTCCGGGAAAAATGTTTTTCATTTGTCCACGAGAAATGTATTTATTTTAATATTGTTCAAGTAGGTAAAAAAGATGGGACAAACCTGTATGCGAAGATCCTTTGTTCTAAAACCGATAGTTTTTCAAGAATAATAAAATGCACTGGTACCTCAAATATCCTTTTTCAGGTAAACTTAATTCACTGAGTGAAATGGCAATATACGTGAGGAATACTGAAAAATATAGAAACAGGAAAAACCTGGGCATCTTCCTATTGTAAAAGTACAAATCCTACGTAAAAAATAAGACGGAATTTTTGCAGCTCTCCAAGGCATTTGAGTGAATTTTGTATTGTGATGTTTGATTAAAAAAAACTGTTTTTCAATTCAAATATCCAATAAAAATTCCAGCATTCCGTTTAAAATAACGAAGTTGTAGGCTAGTTCCGGTACACTGGATGTGACAGCCATCTTGAAATTATTTTAAATCGAAAGATTGGGATGAATAGCTCCTACAGGTAAAATCTCAGATACGTACGAAACATGAAACTTAAAAATTTCTAACGGTCTACTTGCGCGGAATTTCATGTACAAGAAAAAGCTGTGCTCTCACATATAGAGGATCATAATTTTTGGTAATTTCTCCACCGATTCTCATCCTGCGTACCTTGCTGTCTTCTAAAAAGAGCAAACTTTACGTAGAAGTTAAAAAAGAATTTTTCTGCCACTCACTACGGATATTGAATGAATTTTTGGTTCACATTTTGTCTAAAAAAATCCCTTTTTCACATGTTAAGGGCCATTGTATTGAAACTACCGAACAGATTGGAATAAGTATTAATACCATTTATTGGCTATACAATATTTAATTTGATGAATAGTACGACCAGATCGGTCATCTCTAACTCGAGATATGCTGCAAATAGTCAAATTACCCCTAAAAAAAATTATAGGTCCAAAATGTATCCATAGGAAAAATTTTAAATGTGATTTTTGGGTTTAGGAGACCAAACTACACAAGAAAAATACAGTGGCGTCAAATGTACATTTTATGAATTCTTTTTGTAGACTGTTTACATTCGAAAAATACAAATTTTAAATAAATTGTTGTATTTTCACACAAAGTAATGATATTTAATGAAAATGTAATAAAAAAATGTTAACTTTACATTTTTCGTTTTCGAGTTATTTTGTAAATAAAAAAAAATCCATATTTTTTTAACTTATCAGAGAGAGAATTTAATTCCCTACAAATGATTTATAAACATGCCTGTAAATATTTACAACAAATACAAAAACTACAACAAATAGGTATAGGAATGTTAAGATATAATTTCGACCTCTACGATGCATATAGAAAGCCTGATGTTGTTGTCTTTATGGAAATCAGTCGCTGGTGCTGGATGGGACACGTCCAGAGAATTAAAGACGACGAAACCCCCAAGAGAATATCAAAGCAAACTCCCATCGGAACAAATACAATTTTTTTTATTATAACATAATACATAATAAAAATAGCAAATAAAATTATTATTTAGATCGCATTTAATTTAAAATAAATGATAAACTATTTTACAATCAACAATGGACTCTACTTTATGTATAAAGTGCTCGTTATCATCGTATGAGTGACTGTGCTTAGTACCTCAATCCTTTTTTATTTCTTCCACTTTCTTCTTTTTGGCTTTGATGTAAGTTCTATAATAGAAATCGCCGAATAATGAGAACATGAATAAATTCTGGGGAATTAATAGCATTGTTACCCATTTTGGGTATGCACAATTAGGTTGCAAAAGTATTCCGACAAATAATATCAGAAGAAATCCAAATTGTATCTAAAAATTAAAAGTATCAAATTGTTAATTCTAATATATTTGTAAATTAATAAATAATTTTATTAATTTTACTCACCAATTGTAAATGTGTTATATGCCTTTTCCACCATACGCTTTCCTTAAATGACTTGTTATAAACTGTTAAAAGATAATAAGCGTACATGAACATATGAACAATGGAGTTTAAATATCCTAGGAAAACTCCCGATCCTCCCCCAACAAATCTGGTTCCACCCCAACTCAAAGCCACCATTCCAGCATGATGATATACATGCAGAAAGGTAACCTGAACTGATTTCTTTCTTAAAATGAAAAATACCTAAAAAGTATTTTTTTCTATTTAATTAATTACGCGGTATATAACTTTCAAGTTTACCGTATCCAAGAGATCAATTACTTTAAGGATAAAGTACAAATAACAAACTTTTAAAATTAAAACTGAATAGTAGTTATCTGAGTAATCGATTGGTTCACATTTTAAGTTAAAAATCGGTAAAATAACTATTGTTCCCTATAAAAAAAATCCTATATAGATGAAATAGAAAAGAAGAAAGGTACGTACTACAAGAACAATATATGCACAATAAACTACTTGTATTGCATTATAAAATATTAATAGTTTATCTATATTAAATGCTGGTCGATTTTTCATCCATTTGGGACCAAAATCCAACACAAAGTATAAATACCCTGCTAGAACCAATATAATATATATAGGATTGTCCATAAATACATAACCGTCTATCCTTCGATCTAAAACGGATAGATCAATAACAAAATGATTATCCAACAATTTTTAGTCCTTACCTCTCCATTCTTCCATACCAGTTTTATAAATACCCCATAATGTTTTGAGAATTAAAGCCATAATTATCCCTTAAGAAATTTTTAAACATTTATTTTGTTAGATGTATTTGAGAGAATTTTTTAAGTCAGTTCGGCAACTAAAACGTTGTCTTTAAATTTACTCCTTAACCGACATTTTTCAGTGTATTTATAAGAAGAGTGGGGAAGGTCAAAGATCATATTTGTCAATTGTATTGACAAGAATGCGCGCAAAATGAATATGAAACAGAAAAAATTTAAATTTTGAGTTCTCATAGGTATTTATGTATGCAGAATTAACGTTTTGGTTGCTATAGAATTCTTATTTTGATAGTAATTGAACGTATATGTTTTTGAGACGACTCTTCACAATTTTCACAACTACATATACATCACGAAACGGTCATAATCAACGAAATCCATTGTGTTAGTAAATGATTTTTTATCTGACTGTTTTTTATTTTTTTTTTTCTTATTTTAGTACATAAAAAATATTAATTTTATAAATAGTTATAACAATGATAGTAATGTATAACAAAATACCACTTCATTATACATGAATTTTTTATAAACTGCTTATCATTTCCTGCCATTATTTTTGAAAAAGTAATTCTTTCTGCGTTTCACTAACTCGCATGATAAAGTTTTTAGTAATTTACCCTAATCTGTAGCTAACTCGAAATCGAATTGAAGTATAATAGAAATATGCATTTATAGAAAAATATTTCTTTATTTAATAATTTCGTCCAGCGACTGTATAGTTACGCATGTTAGAATTAATTAGTTCAACCTACGATAAACTATTTTGGCCTGATAATAAATTCACACTTCAGACTCAGTATTGCCTAGGGTCTGAGCTAAATTCCTTTTATCCTTTTTAAAACATTGTTCGCCGCTTCGTAACTATTGTACAAGGTGGGCAAAATTGGATTTTGCTCAGATAGCCTTCACCAGGAAAGCAATGAAAACGGAGTGCGTGTGTGTATATTTTGCACCCTCGATGGTCTTACACATGAGAGTACCCCATTCAAAAGAAGACAGACATAAAGCAATCTGTGTATCCCCCGATGCACACACTTTCAATCAAATACACCATATATTAATAAACGCTCGTTACAGGTCAAATGCCATAAATGTAGAGAGCAAAGAGTGAGAAAAAAGTCCAGAATATCGAACTCGAAAAAATGTAAAGGATAAAACCTACCCAGATTCTTTACCGAACAGTTACAGAACAAAGATAAGCTAAAGCAATTTCAGCAACAGCTACCGACAAACCTACAAACTAACGAGGATATGATAGCACTGGAAGATAGGAAAAGTATAAGACAGCTCTTTTAATGACAGGCTTGGAAGTTATAGTCACACGTAAACAACAGAAAAGTAGCGATTGGTTTGATACCGACTGTGATATAGCAAAAACACTTAAAAACAGCGTCTATAAATAATGGCTTAGAGCAGAACTAGGGGAAATGTTGAAGAACAGAGAGATGAAGAGACTGGAAAACCTTAGTGAAACGAAACTGGAATGTTCTACGTAGGACGCAATGAACAAAGAAATTGGTTTAAACCCAGAACATCGTTGTGCTAGGATAGAGATTGGACTCTTGTTTTGGACCCCAATTTAAAATTAACCCTAGGATACTTAACCAATAAAATATCGTCATTTACATAATCCGGGCTTCTGAGACTCGTTTTATAAAATCACGTGTAGCCAGAAAAGAAACAAAGTTATTCAAGTAAACCTTAGAGATTTTAGGGATTAGAGAAGCATATAGTGCACATTCTAATACTATGCTCATTACAGATATTATTTTTACAAGTAATACATATCATTGTGCTTTTACGATCAATACTTGCGGGACATACTGAGCATCTTTTTCTCTTTCAATGAATAAATCTGCTCATACACTCCCGGACAGTACGCCGTAGGTTAGGGTTAGTAGATCTTCTCTGCATATATGGTATCACTAGTTCCTTCGCTAAATCTTTCAAAAACATTCTGCGTTTGTGAGTCACTTCTATGTTGTAGTTTGGATGATCCTTCGTAAAGACTATATATGCATTGAGTGCTGCAACATCAATGATGTTGAAGAAAAATGTCATGGGCCATCGTTTATTTTGCCTCTTGCACGTGTATGTCGACACCATTTGATCCATGATGTCAACACCGCCCTCTGTTTTATTATAATGAGAGATGATTTCAAGCTTCCTCTTAGCGTCGTCATTGATAGATGCGTCGTGGTGCATTGTGCTTAGCAAAATTACGCATTTGTTCTTTTTACGTGCGTAACTTACCATGGATACGTTATTTTGAAAACAAAACAATGAAGAGTAGACTACACGTTCTTTTGAGGCTTTCATTTCTTTCGGAATGTCACGCTTATTCTGACGTAGTGTACCCACAACAGTAATATTTCTATCCAACAGATAAGTTGCTAGCGGAACACTAGTGAAGAAATTGTCTGTCGTGAGATTGCGACCAGAATTATGAATGCCACGCACAAGAGTTTGTACTACTTCAAGCCCCAGGTTTTTATGTGGAGGTTCTCCGGGCTGGCGAAAAACATAAACTAAACCATCCAAAGCATAACCAGACGTAGATTCACACACCCAAAATATTTTAAGTCCATATTTTGCCGGTTTACTTGGCATATATTGAACGAATGTGCATCTACCTCTAAACCCAACGAGTTGTTCATCAATAGTTACATTAGTATCAGGTATGACGCAGGTTTTGCATTGCTGAATGAATAAATCCCAAATGTAGGACACCATTGCTAACTTATCGGTTTCCAAACGCGCATTCCGGGTTCTCTTGTCGTCAAATCTGACGAATCTTTGTATTTCTTCAAAGCGAAATATGGACATTGTGGTTCGGTATACAGGATTGGCAAATTCATCACAAAATAATTCTCTCGCAGAAACATCACAGCTTCTGTCAACTCCCACATGAATAAGTAAACCACAGAATGCAAGAAATTCATCAACAGTTACATCTTTCCACGATTTTCCTTTTGCTCCATAAACACGTTTGCCCTTTAAATTAGTACAGTTCACAATTTCTTGTACAATAACTGGAGTTACAAATAACTGAAACGCTTCTTTTGGTGTTGCAGCCATATGTTTCCTTGCTAGTCCTGGCGCACGCCGAATAATGTTGTGTGGTTGAATTTTATTTTTTGCTGGAGGTTCCAAACTCCATACCAGACCACTTGGAGCAATGTAACCGCTCGTTGAAGGCTTACCAATATCATCAACATCATCCTCTGAATTATCGTCACCATGATCAGAACTGGATCCAGAATACTCGTCAGGAACCAATTCGAAATTTCTATCTTCTGTGTCATCATTTTCTGCTTCTGACACATCACTTTCTTCAGAAGGCAGATCATCACATTCAGCTGCCCACTGCACCAATATTTCTTCATAACCGGTGTCACCAAATCGCACGCTTTTCACATTCCTTTTTGACGCCATTATCATATGTATCTCACAAGTTCACTCAATCCAACTTCTAGTCCAACTGAATGAAAAACAGCTGCACCTACTTTTATACATCCAACAGTAATGCACGTTTTAACTTGCACAGACACGCACAATTCCGCGCAGCAGTGTTTGACAAATTATGATAACCCTCAACCTGTAATGAACAAGTTGAAACTTGTTCTATAGTAACTAGTAGTACACTGTCTTCGGAGGCCCGGTTTATGCAAATACGGGGTGCTCATGGAAACGATTTTTTTTTCGATTGCTAATTGAAATTATTTTAAGAAAATTATTAGTAACTAAAATCTCGCCGGGCCTGAGAGGCCCGGTTTATGCATCCTAGGGTTGAACTGGTATTTTCTTCAACTGCTTAATATGAATGTAGACGTCGAGGAGAGAATCAGAAGGGAGTAAATGACGAGGAACAGGAAGCACTAACCGGCCATTACGAGAGATAGACGAAGCCCTTCAAAAGCTGAGAAATAATAATTCACCTGGTAGTGACCGAAACTCTTAGGAGTGGAACCGGGGGATTATCTGTCCTATCCATCAGAAGGGAAACCCGCCAAAGTGTGAAAATTATAGAGGTATTATGTTGCTAAATATATCATATAAACTATTTTCCTATATGGGAGATTGCTTCCTTATACGGAGAAGCTTCTAGACAGTACCAAAGTGGATTCCATCTAGTTTAACATGTTAAATGAGTAGGAAAACTAAGTTAATAATTTACAAAACCTTTACACTGCCTTTTCAAGAGGAAAATTCTTCACACGATTTTGAAAGGGTGTGGGATGAAAATGACTACGAATCTATAACTTTGAGTTTCATCAACTCTTAGGAAAACACGAGAAATCAGATGTCATGGCTGGAATCGAGGCCATGCGATTGCAATAAGCGGGCCATGTGGAACGAGAATAAGGGTGATGGTGATGACACATTATTCGGCTGTTGCGTGTGTTTGACACAGATCGTGGTTGTTTCGATTTTCTGTTCGATACATTGGTCATTCAAAGATGGATAATTACAATGATTTATTTGAAACCCAAAAAAAGGAAAGAAAAGACGAATGTAGGTACACCATATTGTAATGGAAAGACAAAAGAAAGGCTAATTTCAAATTTATTTGTAGAACTAAGGAAGGGCCTGTCATGAATTAGTTAACAATATTAAGAAAAATATTACTACTAAAAGAAATGCTCGTATGAGGTGTAATATTGCTCGTGTAGAAAAACTGGTCATTACTCTTAGGTTAGTAAGAAAAACTATATAAGTACAAAGGCTTTCACGGCTAGTGTTAATTGAACTAAAACTAGAAACTTTCGGGTTTTGTCGTGCGTCTTTTAAGAAAAGGTTTAACGTTTCGGATGCCATGTTGCAACCTTCTTCAGAAACTGGTTCGAAGCGACGAAATCGAAAATCGGCAACAATATACAGTGTGTCCCCGGATTGTGTCCCCGTAAGGTATAATTGACGATAAATTTTTGAATTCAAATTCCATCTTTTGCAATTAAAGTCTGGATGTCATAAAACGAAATATAACCAAGTTTTACGTCAAATATCCTCAAAGTACCAAAGTTAACGCAAGAAGTTTGTTAACCGTTGCAGGTAAAGTGGTCTTTCTGAGCAATGTACAACAAAAGTTGATTAAGATAAAATGTTTGTTATGTTAAATTATAGCGATATGCCGAATTTTATTAATTTAGCATATAAAAGAAAAAATGAGTTTTTTCTTGAAAATTCTTTTGTAATATTCCGTTTTACAATAAAAACAAATGATCTGAGTTTTACATCACAATATAAAATATTTATAGTGCAGTGCTATGGATTGGGGAACATTAGTTACAATGCAGTTTTAAGGCAATTTGAGGAAAAATTTGTTTTTTTAGTAGATAAAAAAACAATTAAGAGAATTGTTAAAAAATTTTCGGAAACGGGCAATGTGGAAAATAAAAGGAAGGAAAAAAAGCTTTTAGATGAATATGATGCGGGGTCGATTGTTGCAGTAACGAACGCAATGGATGCAAAGGGCAGTTCAAGTCGGTATAAGTAAATCCCATTTACAAAGAATTTAAAATTTAGTTTAAAAAAAAAAATTGAAACTGTTATTAGAGAAATTCCGTTGGACCATATTAGAAAAAGTTATAAACAATGTCGGAAAAGGGCTGAATTATGTGTTAGTGTTGGTGGTGGTATCATTGAATAAGCTTTTATGTTAATTTAGATCGAAAATGTTTTGTTAATCTTATGATTTAAAAATCTGCATTTTGCTTTTATATCCTACATTAATAAAATTCAGCATATCGCTATAATTTAACATAACAAACATTTTATCTTAATCAACTTTTGTTGTACATTGCTCAGAAAGGCCAGTTTACCTGCAACAGTTAACAAACTTCTTGCGTTAACTTTGGCACTTTGAGGACATTTGACGTAAAACTTGGTTATATTTCGTTTTATGTCATCCAGACATTAATTGCAAAAGATGGAATTTGAATTCCAAAATTTATCGTCAATTATACCTTACGGGGACACAATCCGGGGACACACTGTATAAGTCGGGAAATGAATTAATAATTAATTAACGGTAATTACAAGCCAATTATTAACTAATTGCGTCGCGTCCGGTGTGAGGCGGGAGGAGGTCTTCGTGTTCGCCACCATCTTTCATGTTCTGCTAAGCTCCCAGCCACCTTCTCTGTTGACGTTATTTCTATGTCGATGGATCTCTATGGCTTCTCTTGTCAGTCTTTGGTAGTATCCGTTGTCCCTAGCCAGCACCTTTGTTTGATGGAAGTCTATTCGGTGTCCCTCTACATGGCAATGTTCCGCAACCGCCGACTGCTGGATCATCTTCAACCTTACATCCCTTTCATGCTGCTTCATGCGGCACTCGACGTTACGTCCAGTTTGGCCAATGTAAACCTTCCTACAAGATAGTCGGTAGACTATCTTCTTTTAATGGAGTTAGTTTGTCCTTGGATATCGGGTGTGTTTTCCGAATTTTGCCGACCGTCCCGTGCCGCACTACGATGTTGTTCTTCTTGAGGTGCCTGGCAATTCATTCCGTTACACCTGAAACATAGAGAAGACAGATAAATCCAAGTGGTTTTGTGCTTAACGCGTCCTCCCTCTGCTTGAAAGTGTTGCTCCTTCTTCAAGTTATCTCCTTCACATATTCTCGCTGCTCGCTGAAATAAAGTACGAATCACGGACCTTCTTCTGTTGGGGATGATGATGTGATGATACCTGCAGATACCTGTTGGTATGGGTCTTCTTCCGATATACTCCAAGATCCAAATCTCCATTTGTCGTCCTGATGACCAACACATTAAGGAATTCTTGGTGGTACCGGCGCCTTGGTGTTCTGTTGGAATTCCTGTGCATTTTATCAGGTCCTTCATTTTCCTTACGATTTTCTCTGCGGGGTCTTTCTTAATCTTCCTGTAAGTGGCTGGGTCCAGTAGGTTCAGCATTTTGTCGTCATATTCTTTCTTGTCCATCTAAACCTTTATATACCTATCGCCCACTTTTGTATTTCTGTTAGTAGTAAAATTTTCTAACCGTCCACCGGTTCCACAATAATGGTGATTTACATATAATGTAGGGAAATAATTTTATAAAATTTCTAAGGCAGAGTTACAGCAAATTAAAACATATAATAATAATTACTTACCAAGTACTTTCGTATGTCGGGTTTTCGCTAAGTTTGAGAGAATAAACCTTTATAAAACAACTTACTATAGTTAAGTATATTTTTTTATTTATACTTTGCATAAATAGAAATTACATTACTTAATTTAATTATTAGTGCGATCTGGGAAACTAAATAGTGAATATCCGGTTCACTTTTTGTGAGGAACAAACGCAGGGTTCCTCTTTCGAAAATATTCAGGCGGTTTCTTTCTTTGGTCATAATATTATTAACTGCACTAAAACTTGATTCCACAAGATATGAGGTAGGGAAAGGTATCAATAAACTGAATACCATTTTCCACATATTTGGATATAAGACTGGCATTTTTTTATTTTGCCAGAGATTTTCATATCCACCACTGTCGATTTTTTGTTTACTTTCTTCATCATATCTAATTTCTAACAGTTCTACTTGGCAAATTGTATCAGTCTCTTCAATATCTGCCGTAAAAGAATTCTTCATCCAGTCATATACCTTTAATTGCAAAATATCTTCAAATCGTTTTTCCATGTCTAATTTAAGTTCGTTGAGGTGGCTACTCAATCTCTCAATATCCTCTGGAGTTACATCATCTTTTATATATGATAAATGGGGAAACTGATGAAATTCTCTCTTCAATAGATTATGACGAAGTGGTTGAAGCTTGTCAATAAATAATGGCACAATACTTTGGCATCCTATAAGAGTTTTATTAGCTCCTTGAGGCTGCAAATTGATATCGTTAAATCTCTTGAAAATATCTGCCAAGTAGAAGGCATCATTCTTTACTGTTTTTAATTGTTGACACAGATTGGTCTCATTATTGCTTTCCAAAAATTGTATGATACTATCATATAATGCTACAAATCTAGCCAAACATGTACCCTTTGACAGCTACCGAACTTCTGTGTGCAAAAGTAACTTAATGAAATCTTCATTATTATCCTCGCAAAGCTACCGAAACATTCTATCGTTCTTTGCATTGCATTTGATCCTGTTGACGGCTCTAATTATTAAAGTTAATGATGAATGAAGACTTGTACTTAGATATTTTCCTACAAGATGTTGTCTGTGCACTACACAATGAATACATAAAACATTTGGCACTTTCTGCTTCAAATAAGCAACAAACCCACGATATCGACCTACCATTGATGGTACTCCATCAGTAGCTTATGCAACAATATTATTCAAAGGAATATTATTTTTTGTAAAGTATGTACTTACAGTATTAAATATAAATAATCCTTTTGTATCTGTGATGAGATTTATTGTGAATAGCATTTCTTCTCGTAATGTATTGTTCTCATCAAAATAGCGTACATCAATAAAGCATCGT